TGAAACGCGGACGAAATACAGAGAACTAATGACAACAACCAGAAACAGCTGATCACACAGGGCTTCCACATGGAAGGAGCGGACGATCAGGGCAGGACAAATAGTTTTTTTAAACTTTACACATTGTTTGGATACATTTATTTTCTTACTTTACAAATTATTGTTTTGATAAATGTGCTTAGATGTGTTTAGTACATTATATGTTCTTCTTGTTTTATCCAGTTCACTTTGTGTTTAAATGCTAAAAAAAAACATATTTAGGTGTAATTTTTTTGGCCCGGGAACCAATTAATTGGTTTTATATTATTTCTTATGGGGAAAATTCGATCAGATCTTGAACTTTTTAGGATTCGTTCCGGAGTTCTGAACGGATTAAATTCGAGTTCTGAGGTACCACTGTACTTATTTTCCAACAAATTTTAATGTTTACATACAAAATTCCCTTAAAATTATAGAAGGTTATTGATTTTCAAGTATTCAAAGAAACATAGCTCAAAAGAAAACCATATAATAATGTAACAATGTGCAAAACTGTATAATACTGCAAATATGCTAAAGGTCAAACATAAAATAAAGCAGGACAGAACTGACTGCAACAAGTATCTTCCTCTATTCTTGGTCACTTAAAAACCATTTTAAGAACTTAAAATTCTGAGGTAGAAAAGTATCTAAACCAGGGGTGCCCAATCTTATCCGCAAAGGGCCGGTGTGTATGCAGGTTTTTGGGATAACCTGTAGGTCAGCTGTTCAAACCCAGGTGTGTGGACTCTTCAGCCAATCAGTCCTCTAATTAGTAATCTAATTAGGAAGTTGCAGCGAAAACCCGCATACACACCGGCCCTTTGCGGATAAGATTGGCCACCCTTAATCTATACCAAACAAAAAACTCTTATTCAAAAAAATGCCAAATCATGGTTAGATTTTTTTTGTCCGGTGCTGCAAAACGTCACCATTCATCACCATGTCATATGATACAAAATGCTCACAAGAGCAAGATGACTTGAGACAGACCGTGCAGCACAAACTGGAACCGCCTCCGTGACGACACAACTTTGCCCTTAGTGGCTGAAGGTTTTAGGCACACGCATGACGTTTGTATCCCAGGAAGTTCCGATGCGTTTTCTGCTATTTCTCCCGAATAGCGCGTAAAGCAGTCAGAACTGGTTTTCAGTTCATGTACCTGTTAAAATAAAGTTTAAATAAATGACATAAATGCTCTTAACAGTACACGTAAGTTAGTGGTTTATTTATTGTTAGTTACTGTAATGTTGCGCTGCTTTATTTGGTTAATCGTCCAGTCTGTGAAGAAGGCATTCAAGTAAGAATTGCATTGTACTCTGTACATGACAATAAGAACTTTGAATCCTTGAAATACTTGTATTTGATCCTTTTCCTGGCAGCTGTCTTTTTACACTTTTTGACCAGTTGGAAGGGAAGAAAGGTAAACATTTGGGAATTAAGTTATTGAGGATTTGAGAAACAAAATCAAAAAATGTTTTCTCTGAGTGAGAACATTTTTTTGTCCATATTTTTCTCCCCGAATCTTAGATGGTTGACCTGTAGGTTTTGCCCCACCTTAAGATGCTTGTGAGTGTGTGTGTGTGTGTTTGGGGGGCAAGTTTTCTCTCTTCCTGTATGGTTTCAGGCTCCAACATAGTTGGAGGACAGTGCAGGTTTTTGGGTTTCTGTCCTGTACCCTTGCAGAATGTGATAGAATACTGTGAGGGGAATGCAGCTGACGAATTCACCTGATGGATCACAGTAAAACAGTGTGTTTATCAGGCTTCACACAGCTGACACTGTGTGATAGGGCTGAGCCAAAGGTGTCCTTTGAGACTCAACTGGAATACTGCGTTTCAAGAAATCATCTTAATATCACATCATTTTATAGGTGGGTTGGAGTGCCAGGTTCTGCCCACAATTATAGTAAATACACTTTCCCATTGACTACTGTTGTCTTTTCTGGAAAGATCTGTACAGTAGAGTTGAAAGGTAAACTGTTAGTGCAAGAGACTAGGTGCTATGACAAGAGATTTCTCCATATTTCAAGTTTAATCTCATAATTAAAAATTAATGCATACGCACATCCATGCTAGTGGGTTTGGAATTCAAAAATACAAACCACATGTTATATAAGTGTTAAATATTTAACAAACGATTTAATAAACAGTAGCATTGTGAAATGCTTTAGAGATGTTTTTGTTTTTCAGAAGGCTTTTGACTTAACTCCGCTGTGATTTCCTTCCCTTGGAGGAAATCCCTGTTGGTTTGCATTGCTTATAAGGAAAGTTTCCCCACTGGTGGCTCAGTGCCTGAAATTTTAATTATGTTTAATTTGATGCAAACTAGAAATACTCGGGGAAAGTCAAAATGCGGGGAAGTGGACCAGCTACGAAGATGTAGCGAACGCTGCCGCTGTGAGGGTTAAGATCGGCGTAATAGGTACCTGCGGACTGGAGAGGTCTGGCACTAAATACAGGGCAGTTCCATCTTTTATTCATGGAGTACTTACTACATGACTACTTATTTACATTCCAAAGTAAAAGTTGCTAAATACAGTGCCAAATATGTTGACATTCCGCACTGTATTTTACAGACAACATTCTGCCAGTAAGAGTAATTAACTGGGATGGGCTGATCCACATTTTTTCAGTTCCGATCTGATTCCGATACAAGATCTCTTTTTACTTTAATATTTTTAATTAATAATATAAAAATACATATAATACATTTAATATTTTTAAGCTAGTAAATACAGATAAAAGTAAATAATGGCCTCCCATACATCATTCAGCTAGTAAATGCAGATAAAAATACAGATAAAAAATGTACGCGAAAAATATTTATTTAGGCTACTAGAAACATACATATCATACTGTTCCACCTGGTGTGTACATCTTGTTTTAAGCGTTTTTGAGTCATTTGCAGTTCGATTTGAAAATCTTCCACGGCAGGATATGCAACTGGCAAATGCTTAAAATGCCCCATAATTTTTCTCCCACTGGCAACAGCGTCACTTACACTCCACTGCATTCACAGCCCCCTATTTATCACAAGCTGTAGCAAGTGTGCAAAACAGCCCAAGCCAGTGACCCCAAACCATCCATTGCTTTTTTCATATTATTCGTATTGTCTCTCAATTGTGTGCCCTTTGTTTAGTGGGATTTTCCACCAAATGCTATTCCCACCTCTCAAAACTTTATTTTTTTTTTACAAAGATTGCAAATTTCTGTGATACTAGTTGCTGTTAAAAGCATAACATACTTCCAGATTGTCACCCTCTTATCTGATATTCTTATGCTCCTTGTCATGCGCATATCCTTTGCAGTACGTCAGAGCAGGTGGAAGTCACTGCACTCGCACTGAGTGGCAAATTGACTGAGTGTTTATCCTAAATGCCACAAAAACACATCTAAAATGGGAAAGAGCTGTCAGGTGATTGAATGTACAAATAGCTCCTATTTCATGTTAAATCTATCTTTTTACAGATTGCCAAAAACTAAATAAGTAAGTATCGGATATGGATCGGTCATGTATGGCTGATACCTGATCCGTCAAAAAGTTCTGGATCCGTGCCGAGCCCGATACGAATATTGGATCAGTGCATCTCTAGTAATTACCATACAATTTATCAGACAAACTGGTCAAGAGCATGTTACCTTGTAAGAAGTAACTCTGGATCTTCTTGAAGAAGATCCTGAGTAAAAACCCTACGGTTCTATGCTCCTGTTCTTCCCACAGAAATTAAAGCTTTGTTTTCTCTTGTGATAAAAAACAAAAATGGCTTCCTGTCAAGAGACTGCGTGACTTATAATCATTTAGCTTATTTATGCTTTCATGTTTAATAAAGTTAAAGGAGAGTCAGGTTTTGTGCAACCCTGCATTCTAAGCGATTGTTTAGTAGGAACATGCATGCTAATCCTGCTGTGCCGTCTGTTCTCCTGAATGAGACATACAAAGACGATTGATGAAGCAGACACGCAAACCACGCCATTTTGTCCTTAGAGTAGTCCCTGCAGTTGTCATTTTGTTTTATTCTTGGCGTGTTGCTTGGCTGTCTCGCACCTCCGTGACCCCAGCATCACTGATTGATGGTGTCCATAGGCTTGTAGAAGGCAAAGCTCCTGCTCTCTATCTCCCTCTGCTGTCCAGTGCCAGTAACCCTGAATACAGAAGAGTATTAGGGCCCCCTCGACGGCATGTGCATTTGCTGTTGGGAAATGTTTTAGGCCATTTAGGTCTTAGATCTGCAAGTTCTTGGGTCATTCTCTAGGATGGTGGGGTACACTCTTAATTTAACCGATATTTTAGCTAGGGCTGCAGGATATCACATTGTGAGTAGGCCTTCAGATGACGGGTGAATGATCTGTCCAGACTCTAGCTTTTGGTTGCTATACAGACATTTACTTGCATCCACAATCTGGTAAGCAGATAACTAGTACACCTAAAATATTACTGAGAGGCGAATTGTGACGCCCAATAGTTAGTACTCTGAATAAATTTGGCATTTCCTTGTGTTTATTAAATTCGCTTAGCGGAACGCAACACGTGCTGCTGTTTTGGTAAATCATGGAAGCGATAAACCCTGAAGTGGCGGCGAAGAAAGGGACAGCTCAGCACCCACTTCATCTTTTAAAAGAAGAGATATTGTGGGATAAATAAGGTAAAAAGGACATTGGGAGTGTGACGGTATGTTTTGCAGCTCACTTTAGGCAGTCAGACACGATTATTAAACATAAGGATATGCCGAATTTATACAGATTACTAAAGCCCCAGTGATTATTGCGTATGCACCATATAATCAGGATGTGGTATCATACAGCCCTAATTTTAACCAACTGCTGGTTGGTAGCTGGTTTTTGCTACAGCTGAATGTGTATATGTGTATATGAAGCAGTTGTGGGTATGTGCCTTGCAGGTGCTGTGAGATGTTCTGATGGGGTGGCACGTTTTCAGTAACCTAAACAATGACCTGAGCCGCTGCTCTCTGTCTCTTTCAGCTCTTTGAGCTGCTGGGCCCAGAGGGCTTCGAGATGATTGAGAAGCTGCTGCAGGGACGCCCTGGAATTGTCAGCTCCCTCCTATCTGCGCCCTCTGACCTAAAGTTCAGCCAGCTGGCAGGTGAGTTTTTTGAGGATCAGGTCAGTGTTTCTCAAACCCAGTCCGCAGGGACCCAGAAACACTCCATGTTTTTGCTCCCTCTCTGCTCCCAGTAGGTAATAGGTAACGGAGAAGGAGGGAAATGAAACGACTGACATCAGTGCTTATATAATAATTAATTATGTCCTAGTGCTGATTAAAAAGACCCTGTCATGGTTATTCTGTCGAACAAGCATGCATTACTTGAGATTTGGTGATGTGATTCAGTTTTATTATTTAAGAACTATAATTAATTATTTATCATAGCTAGTTATTATGGTTAAATTTTAATTGCTTACCAATGAGAGCAGTGCATAATGATACCTGTTTCTTAGTTTGATGCTTTGAAGCACTTCTAGTTAATATCCTTGCTGGTCCAACAGCAGGGTCCTCCTGGGACCTTAAAGTTGATGATTGGGTGCCATGTTGCGTTCTTCCCAATTTGCAGATTACGTGAAAGTGATTAGTTGTGCTTTTCGGCACACTGCAGCACACAGTGCACAACAACATAATGTGTCCTCTGCATTTAACCCATATGTGACATCGTGACATAGCAGGGGGCAGCTAATTCAGCGCCCGGGGAGCAGTGCTTGGGGACGGTACCTTGTTCAGGGTACCTCAGTGGTGCCTTGCTGGTCGGGGATTTGAACCAGCAATCTTTCGATTACAAGTGCACTTCCCTAACCATTAAGCCCCCACTGCCCGCCGTTGGTTACTAACTTCTGGGCGTCACAATACGCCTCTCATTAATATTTTAGGCGTACTACTAATCTGCTTACCAAATTGCGGCCGTAAGTACTTCCATTTAGTACCGAAAATTTGTTTGGTTGCCTGGCTGTAGGTGTGATTGTGGCCCACGGATTACCCACTGCTGATGGTAACCATTGATTTTAGCAGTGTGTTTCTGGAGAGCCGTAGCAAAGCTGGTGCTGTGCCGGTCCGGCTGCCGGTCTGGCAGATGCTGCTGTCGGCCACTTGTCGGTGGATTTGAGAGTCGGCCCCTGGGCCTGCCGCACGCGCGCCGCGGCATATGCCATTCGCCGTCGCTGCGCAAACAGAAGCTACACCTGCGCTACAGATTCGGCAATAGGTACCCTGGGAGAGTCGTTTGATTTGTGTATCACGGCTGCGATGTGGGAGCACTGTTGTATCATTGTGGGAGCGTGATACAGGCGCGCCTTACTTAGCTGGGTGTCTGTTAGCACACCAAAGGTGTCCTGCGGTGCTGAAGCAGAGATGTGAATCCCCCCCCCTGCCTCGCTTTTTTGCTTCCCACTTGGCAACAGCCACCCTACCCCCCAGACTGTTTGATCATTCAGTCTGTCTCCTGTTTTTTGCATTATAGTCAAATGGCTCCACACAGAGAGAGACCATTACCGAAAGAGAGTCTATTAGGTGTAGCTCAATTCTTCATTATTTCATCACTGGAGGGGTTAGTGGGTTCAGGTCTGTAACGTATTTTTGCTGATAGGAGGAAGACAAAGAACAGAGATGTTAAGTTTTTAATGTGGGGCCGGGGCGAAAGAGGGCAGCAATTATCAACAAATATTAAACAAAGGCCTGCTTCATGCTTTGATGCCGGCCGTCCCTCTTTAGAGCGAGATACTCGCGCACCCCCGTAACCGTGTGTTTTTCTTATTACCTACCAACCCCGGGTGCCATGCTTCATCTCGTCGCCTTCTCCCGTCATTCCTGAAATGACTCGCTTGAAGACCGGCTTCATTCCTTAAGTATGAATCTGAAAAGAGGTCTCTTAGTGACAACGGGGATGGCTCTTTTGTGCCAGCACGACTCCTGCATCGAAAGCCTAAAGGGGGGGGGAAACATTCTAAAGATCTCTAAAAAAGGTTTGATTTAAAGTTTTAAGAAGTGAAAGCTTCTTGTGTTCTCATTGAGCGTTGTTAGCATTGCCCTTGTTAGCATTGCCTTAGCATAAATTCTTGCTGTGGTGAAAGGTTGTACACTCTGGAATTACAGGGGATGAGCAATTCTATCATAATTTGAAAGCATATTTAAAGCGTAAAGTGAAAATGCAAAGCACTTTTTTTTGGGAGGAGCTAGCAGATGAACTGCAGCCTGATTGGGCCAGAGCCGCGTCCCTGATGACGGTGTGATCTGTGCTGCTGATGTTGTTGCTCTTAATCCTCAGGTCAGCTGTTGAATTTGCACACTCACAGGACCCCTACAGCTGAAGATCCATATATCACTTCTTAGAACTTTAAAGTGAAGTTTCCTGTTGTGTTTCCACTCTCCGGCCTGGAGACCAGCAATCATGCAACCTGCTGGTGTCTCGCTTCACGTCGCAATACAATTCCAGTTTGTTTATGCTGTGCTGGCATATAACGTGCCTCCACCAATAATTGTATCTCACTCTGCACAAATATTTAAGTCAGTAGTATGCCTAGGCTAGGATGTGACCCAATGACCCTATGGTTTGCCAGAGCTGTCGTTTTTCAGCTCCAGATTAACAGAGTTGATGTGGAGGTTAATTGTTCATTTAAAAGGCCTTGCTTTTCGATAGCGCGCATCTGCTGATTTTGACTGTGTGGGGCTGGGGGGTGTCGTATAAGACCTTGGAGGGCTTAAGGGGAATTGCAACGGCGTTAAAACGGCTTGCATTCAACCCTGTCATCTGGGCGGGGAATTAAAAAGAAGAAAAACTAAAGAAGATTTTCAAGTAGGAGGTTATCTCTGTTTACCGTACTTTCCCTGCCACGCTGGACTCGGGATGCAAACACCCTCTATGGAAAATAATTATTACAATAAGCACAACTGATTTGTATGTTGAACAGTGAAAAGGGTCAGCTTAAAAATGATTATTGTCTGTTAAAGGTTGCTCACAAGTAGTAGGAAATTTCTCATTTGGAAGATTGGGTGGGTGCGGACTCAATATTTTATGAATCCATATTGCAATTTGTGTTTTTAATGCGCTTTCGAATGCGCTTATTTTGGTAATGTGATTCCTACAAGTAAGACCAGTAACACTACTTGGAATTTTAATTGTCTACCTTTCATGTGACCCATTCTCTTTAGCTATCAAAAAGTATGGATTGTCGGTGTATAGTGCCTTTGATTAAAAATGAAGTTTCATTTTTAAATATATAACTGTTCTTATTAAGTAACCTGATTCAGTTTCTGATTTGTTGGTTCTGAAAAATGCAGACATTGATTGAAACCTGCGTGATTTATGGGAAGATTCTAATGCATATTAAGGTGCCCTTGTAAAAATAACAAACTTCCCTAATATGATTTTGTTCTACCATGGTTCTCAGTGACACCCTGGGTGCTGGGTCTGGGTGAGACTGCCCTCTCCTGGCATTAATACCCGTACTGATGGACTGGGTGTCGCTTCCGATACTGAACTTGTTGAGATTTTAGAAGCTGATTTATTTTTTTTTCTTCTTAAAGTAGAATCACTGATAAAAATCCTAATGGGAAATGTTCTGTATTTATTTGCAGAATAAATGTAAACATCAATAATAAGAGTCTTTTGAGAGAAACTTCATGCCGTCTGTTGCTGTTCAGTCAGGTGCAGTCAGTCCACACAAAATGAATCGTTAGCCACCGATGTTCCTCTGAGGGTATCCTGTTCCGCTTCGTAGTCGTGCACCAAGCAAACCGCGGTGCGATTCGTCTGGAACATGCAGTGGTCAGGAAGGGACGGTGTTCAATGTAAAGATGGATGCTGCTTTTTATCCGCCTGTCTGCCGCCCACGGTTAACCGCTGAATAACGTGCCCTCTGACAGGGGTTTGACTTCCACGTTCCTGGTTTAGCGCCTGATCCGAGAAGGGATGTCGCATCAGTCTTGGATTTTAGCCGAAATTAGTGCTGCTGTTATCTGCGACAGATAGAAAGTTAATGCCTCGGAGAAGGGCAGTGTGACGCCCTTTTCGAATGCGCTTATTTTGGTAATGTGATCCCACCTGCAGTAAATCTCCTCTGGTAAAGTTTGGTTGCATTTGTGCCGCACTGAAAAGGCTTCTCCTCACACAAGGTGCTGACTGTAAAGTCTGGCCATTGTAGCTGTTCAACAAAACAGTGCATTGCGTTTGAAGTTTGGCTCCTTCTTTCATGAATTGATATATCTTTGTTTTTTTGCTTATAATTGGAGAGCGAAGCCGTTTTTACTTTGCACTTTGCAACAAAGTTTTGATAATGAAGAAACAATTTTGCTTACATGGCTATTCGGTAAGAAATCCTGTCATAATATATCTTATGGATGAGCTGGTATCATGCACTCGGAGCAAGCCCTGCTGGAATTCAAAATAAATAACTTTGAAATCAATTAAACCATCCATCCATCTTCCATAACCGCTTATTCCGTGCCGGGTTACGGTGAGCGGGGAGCCTGTTCCATGAAACACAAGGAACAAGGCAGGGATAACCTTGGACGGGACGCCAGTCTGTCACAGAACACAGGCATCCGCACACCGTGGCCAAGTCACATGGCAGCTCATCTAACCACATCTCTCTGGACACCCACAGAGACTAGGGGTCATGCAGGCCCCCTGCCCAAGCACTGTGTGGGCCACTGGGCTGCTCCCAGTTAAACCATACATAAATAAAGCATCAAAACAGTGGGATTAATGACTCTTAGTTATGTGAATGCTTACTAGGACAGCAGTAACAGCAGTAGTGTGAGTCAGGGGGACCCTGGAGGAGCGTCTTCTAGGAGCACTGCCTTTGGGTGACCCTCACTGGCTGAACCCCCTATAGATGGTCATGGAGAGTGTGGTTGAGGAGCAGCTTAAATGCTGTATAGGGAAATAAAATGCACAGATGCTGTTGGATTGTAAGGAAGCTGCCATGGACCCAGATGCCAGGGAACAGAAGCGGGCAGCTTTGCGGAGATTGTTCTCGCATCCAGCTACCTCCAGTGATAACGGCGGTCTGGCAGCTTGTTATTAAGAAATGAATTCCATCCTGAAAGATAATGTTTAATTAATATCAGGGCTGCGGGACAGGCTTAGTGCTTAAGCCCTTGGTTCTCTCTCTCAGTGCTCTTAGTTTTAAAGAAGAGGGGGGAAAAAAAACGATTAGCTTGCATTATATTGTCTGGTAACCAAGTTAAATAATAGATGCAAGTGTAACATTATAACCGAACTCTGCACAATATGAGTTTCACATAAAATGAAGACGCACATTCTTTCTTTTAACCGAAGCACCAGAGAAGGTTATCTCTCTGAGTGACACAGCTTAGCTACAGCTCGGGAAAGTGTTAATTACCAGTGTTACAGGATTAGCGCGAGGGGTCGTCTGGGCCCCAGGGGGGGGGGCTGCCAAGTCAGATTTAAAGGCGACGGGGAGGCTGACCAGGTACTTCCTGAAGAGAGCTGCGCTGAAGCCCGTTTCGTCTGTCTCTGGCTCACGCACGCCGTCCTGCTGGCTCCCACCCAGCTTTCATGGAGTGAGGGGGCTGCCTTTGTCTCTGTTTATAATCCGAACAGGGGAGCCGTGATTTATGTCTGTATGGGGAGGTACAGTAAGGTGACACAGGGCCGATTTATACCTCACGTATACATGAAAATCTAGGTCAGAGGCCAGAATATCTGAGGAACTCCTTAAAGAATTACGTCATTAATATTCGCGCGGAAAATCAGTGCTTCTTACAATGCTAAAGGATAAGATGGGAAACCGCTTTTCTGTAAAGAAGCAGCGATAGGATGCTGAGTTAAAAGCTGCCTCTGTTGTCAGGACTGCGGAGTTTTTTCCCCCACATTTTGTTCCTTGTGGGGTCCAGCGTGTTTTCTCACTCAAAAAAACAAAATCGGTTTATTTTTGCGTATTTCTATCACTGCCACAGACGGGCAAAATAAATTATTAAGATGAGTTAAAATGCCTGCCGGCACGTTAATTTCTTTCTCGCGTCCCAGTCGGTAGCTGGGCGGCGTGTCTGTCGGGAGATGATGGGAGTGGATGTCAAACATTTTGATGATTACTGATGATTACAGGATTGGAAGGACACCCCCATTAGTGTCACAGCCGGGGTCACTTCGAATGAGCTGCTCGAGTAACGTAAACATTGTTTTCTTCGTCCTGCTTGTCCAGATTCTCTTGGCTAGAGGAGGTTCTCCTCACTCACACATTTTTGATCGCAAGATCAGTTTTTCCCGATATCTGCTGCTGTTTCTCTCTCTCTCTCTCTCTCTCTCTCTCTCTCTCATTCATTCTGGTTGAGCGCTGTTAGGACATGCGTTCCATGAACATCACATGAACATCACATGTACTTCAAGGGCAGTTCTCACTTGGATCTCCATTGCGACGCCCGTGTCAGGTTGAGGGTCGTGGATAGTTGCTGATTGCATCAAGTCAGCCTACAGGTGCCAGTGAGAGAGTCTCAGCTTGAAAAAGTGTTTAGTTTCACCCATAGTCTTGTCTAAATAATGGATGAGCTGGCCTGTACTGTCTAGTGTAGGACACAGCAGTGAATATCTGCACTGTTAGGAGCGAAGCCGCGTCTGCTAAGTGGCTGCATTGTGCAGCCGGTCGTCTCGGCAGGGCTGAACGTTAAATCCCTGCGTATGGCTGCATTGTTAGCCCACATTGTGTGTCTCTCCGAACGCCGCCGCTCTCTGAGACGTCTCTTTCTCATTTACCGGCTTTTATCTCTCCAGCCTTTGTTTTATTCCAGGTTAAATGAGACCACCCAACGGTGTCGGCCTTGTATGACAATATCTGGGCTGCGGGGGCAGCGTGCTGAGCCGCTGTTATGGTCTGACGGCGGTATCGTGGGGCTGGAGGGTGAACAGATCTGCTGGAAAAACCTGTCGGAGGGTAAAGATGCCGATGAAGTTTACCCCCGGCCTAATTAGTGAGCCCGCTTTTGTATTTGTTGTTAAGGGGACTGCTCTAATTAGCTCGTCCATATTATGACTGGTCATAACGCTGCTGGAAGCCTGAGTTGGCGCCCGGCGGGGCGGGGCGGGGCCTGTGGCGTGCGGCTGCTTCTGACAGGGTGATGATTGGGCCATCACCACGGGCACCTGTAGACATGACTCACCGCTGACAGGAGCTGCGCTGTCTCCTCGCAGTCTCTCTCTCTCTCTCATTTTCTTTCTTGTCTCGCTCCCGTTTCCAAATGTGGGGAATAGAGGCCGCTGACCTCTGACCTTGAGGAGGCAGGATGTTGGATGTGCGGTGATGTCACATGGGGCCCATGCTGTTTACTTTGGAAATTCACCTCTCTTGTCGCAGGGGTGGGGCCACAGGGGCACCAGTTCCAGCTGAAAGCTGATTGGTCCCCAGAGTACCCCTTCCTCTGTCACTCACTGATTCAAAACATATCATTGGCTCGCGATAAGGTTTGCCCCTTTATATGAATTATGGCCCCTCTTATGCCCCTCACCTTAAAAAGAAATAAATCTTACAATCGACCCTGTGTTGCTGACCTGCTGGCCTTTACAGAATTTAATAAAGATATGATGAAACAAAAGTTTATTGATATGAGTCGTGCCATAAATCTGAATGCAATCAGCTACTGTGTGTTTCAATCAGGGACTCTTTGGCGGTGGGGTGGGGGGGGGGGCTGTTTTGCAACAAGCACATAATATTTATCTGCTGCATTGGTGGTGGGAAATGGAAGTCTTACATGAGGGAGAGGCAGAGAGCTGTCCCAGAGACACGGCGTGCCATCTGCTCCC